TTTCGGGGTGGGGTCTGGATAGTGGGGTGCTGAAGGGATTTTATTTAGATTTCAGGGGTGGTGGGGTCTGGATAGTGGGGTGCTGAAGGGATTTTATTGGGATTTCAGGGGGGGGGTCTGGATAGTGGGGTGCTGAAGGGATTTTATTGGGATTTCAGGGGTGGGGGTCTGGATAGTGGGGGTGCTGAAGGGATTTTATTGGGATTTCAGGGGTGGGGTCTGGATAGTGGGGTGCTGAAGGGATTTTTTTGGGATTTCAGGGGTGGGTCTGGATAGTGGGGTGCTGAAGGATTTTATTTAGATTTCAGGGGTGGGGTCTGGATAGTGGGGTGCTGAAGGGATTTTATTGGGATTTCAGGGGTGGGGGTCTGGATAGTGGGGTGCTGAAGGGATTTTATTGGGATTTCAGGGGTGGGGTCTGGATAGTGGGGTGCTGAAGGGATTTTATTGGGATTTCAGGGGTGGGGTCTGGATAGTGGGGTGCTGAGGGATTTTATTGAGATTTCAGGGGTGTGGTCTGGATAGTGGGGTGCTGAAGGGATTTTATTGGGATTTCAGGGGTGGGGTCTGGATAGTGGGGTGCTGAAGGGATTTTATTGGGATTTCAGGGGTGGGGGTCTGGATAGTGAGGTGCTGAAGGGATTTTATTGGGATTTCAGGGGTGGGGTCTGGATAGTGGGGTGCTGAAGGGATTTTATTGGGATTTCAAGGGGTGGGGGTCTGGATAGTGGGGTGCTGAAGGGAATTTTATTGGGATTTCAGGTGGGGGGTGGGGGTCTGGATAGTGGGGTGCTGAAGGGATTTTATTGGGATTTCAGGGGTGGGGGTCTGGATAGTGGGGTGCTGAAGGGATTTTATTGAGATTTCAGGGGTGGGGTCTGGATAGTGGGGTGCTGAAGGGATTTTTATTGGGATTTCAGGGGTGGGGGTCTGGATAGTGGGGTGCTGAAGGGATTTTATCGGGATTTTTCAGGGGTGGGGTCTGGATAGTGGGGTGCTGAAGGGATTTTATTGGGATTTCAGGGGCGGGGTCTGGATAGTGGGGTGCTGAAGGCAGAATTTCAGGATCTATAAGGTATCCATATTCCTACTTAAAAAGAAAAAAAACAAAGACTTACTCTGTCCTTGGAGTTGATATCCACCCCGGTGGCAATAAGATGCTCCACTACATCTGCATGACCGGTACGAGTGGCAACATGCAGAGGTGTACTCAGAACCTGAAAACATGTCATGAAAAATGAAAGAGAAAATCAGAAATCTACAGTTATTGGATGATTTCACCATTAAACAGAATTTTTATTAAAATACAGTTCCATCAACTATAGACCTTTCGGCACTATTCCTCCCATTGACACCAATGATGGGGCACTATTCCTCCCACTGACACCAATGATGGGGCACTATTCCTCCCACTGACCAATGCTGGGGCACTATTCCTACCACTGACACCAATGATGGGGCACTATTCCTCCCACTGACACCAATGATGGGGCACTATTCCTCCCACTGACACCAATGATGGGGCACTATTCCTCCCACTGACACCAATGATGGGGCACTATTCCTCCCACTGACACCAATGGCACACTATTCCTGATGGGACATCACTAGTCCTCCCACTGATACTAATGATGGGGCACTATTCCTCCCACTGATACCAAAGATGGGCACTATTCCTCCCACTGACACCAATGATGGGGCACTATTCCTCCCACTGATACCAAAGATGGGGCACTATTCCTCCCACTGATACCAAAGATGGGGCACATATTCCTCCCACTGATAACAATGATGGGGCACTATTCCTCCCACTGACACCAATGATGGGGCACTATTACTCCCACTGACACCAATGATGGGACACTATTCCCCCACTGATAACAATGATGGGGCACTATTCCTCCCACTGACACCAATGATGGGGCACTATTCCTCCCACTGATACCAATGATGGGGCACTGTTCCTCCCACTGATATCAATGATGGGACACTATTCCTTCCACTGATACCAATGATGGGGCACTATTCCTCCCACTGACACCAACGATGGGACACTATTCCTCCCACTGACACCAATAATAGGGCACTATTCCTCCCACTGATACCAATGATGGGGCACTATTCCTCCCACTGATACCAATGATGGGACACTGTTCCTCCCACTGACACCAATGATGGGGCACTATTCCTCCCCTGATACCAATGATGGGGACACTATTCCTCCCACTGACACCAATGATGGGACACTATTCTCCCACTGACAGCAATGATGGGACACTATTCCTCCCACTGACACCAATGATGGGGCACTATCCCTCCCACTGACACCAATGATAGGGCACTATTCCTCCCACTGATACCAATGATGGGGACACTATTCCTCCCACTGACACCAATGATGGGACACTATTTCTCCCACTGACAGCAATGATGGGACACTATTCCTCCCACTGACACCAATGATGGGGCACTATTCCTCCCACTGACACCAATGATGGGGCACTATTCCTCCCACTGACACCAATGATGAGGCACTATATTCCTCCCACTGACACCAATGATGGGGGCACTATTCCTCCCACTGGCACCAATGATGGGGCACTATTCCTCCCACTGACACCAATGATGGGGCACTATTCCTCCCACTGACACCAATGATGGGGCACTATTCCTCCCCACTGACACCAATTATGGGGCACTATTCCTCCCACTGACACCAATGATGGGGGACTAATATTTTCTCTAATAACTGATGCCAGGACATTTCTACTCCCACTGACCACAGTCCCCCCCCCCCCCCCCCGAAGGTCTGAAGCACAATAAACTGGCCCTTTGTTTAAAAAGTTTGGCGACCCCCAATGTAGAGTAATTATTTATTTCTTATAATCATCAGCTCCATCTAGTGGCCATAATGCAGTATTTTCCCAATTCAGTCTTAGAAATGAGGAACATCGGACCCGGAGAGACGAATAGCCATCACATTTGATTTTCTTGGCATGCGCAGAGAATGAATTTTAAATGCCGTTCTCCAGGTTGAAAAGCTCCAGGAATTTTTGTTATACATAGAGCCCTCAGAGTGACACCGTACATCAGTGTGTGTGGCCGGGAGTCATACCTTGTCTTTCACATTAATCTCAGCTCCGTGGTCCTGAAGAAGCTTCACAACATCGATCTTCCCTCCACGGCAGGCCCAGTGAACAGCCATGCAATCCAACTACGAGGCAAAGAAGAGATCGAATTTTCATTTAACGTTCCTTTCATTTCAAAGATCTGTGCAATCTACAACACACGGCTAGAACTTGGTATGGAAAAGACGAAAAATCGAAAACAAGAGCTGACAGATGCCCGCCGTGAACAACCCTGCGTCTGATTGAACAGCCCTGTGAAAGCCATGGCCAGGGGGAAAGCCAGCCAGAGGGAAGCAGAGCCCTCAGTTACATTAGGCTCCATTCACATCTGAGCGTTGCGTTTTTCTGCGTTTTTCGCACACATTTTAGTGCGGTTTTACCATGATTTTTTTGCATTTTTGCACATTTTCATACAGTGTTTTTAGATGTTTTTGAGCATTGGCATTTTTCATTAGCCAATAGAGAAAAATATCATCTGTTGCATCATTTTTTTGCTAGATTTTTCAGAATGGCAGAGAGGGATGAAGGACACTGAGTGGATGGAGCAGAGAGGGGTGGAGGACACTGAGTGGAGGCCAGTGGAGGGATTGGCAGAGAGGGGTGGAGGACACTGAGTGGAGGCCAGTGGAAGGATTGGCAGAGAGGGGTGGAGGACACTGAATGGAGGCCAGTGGAGGGATTGGCAGAGAGGGGTGGAGGACACTGAGTGGAGGCCAGTGGAGGGATTGGCAGAGAGGGGTGGAGGACACTGAGTGGAGGCCAGTGGAGGGATTGGCAGAGAGGGGTGGAGGACACTGAATGGAGGCCAGTGGAGGGATTGGCAGAGAGGGGTGGAGGACACTGAGTGGAGGCGGATTGGCACAGAGGGGTGGGGGACACTGAATGGAGGCCAGTGGAGGGATTGGCAGAGAGGGGTGGAAGACACTGAATGGAGGCCAGGGAATGGCAGAGAGTAAGGTGGATGAGTCTGGGAGCAGCATTCATGATAGACTGAAGAGGTGATAGCCTGCGATGAGGTCGGCCAATGAGGAGGGAGTTACAATAGTCAAGGCGAGATATAACCACTGAGGGAATAAGTTGCTTAGTGGTTTCCGAGGTTAGGAGCGGCCGTGTCTTGGAGATGTTGCGGAGGTTGGAGGTGTTGCGGAGGTTGGACGTGTTGCGGAGGTTGGAGATGTTGCGGAGGTTGGAGGTGTTGCGGAGGTTGGAGATGTTGTGGAGGTTGGAGGTGTTGCGGAGGTGAAGTCTACAAGATTTGGACAGTGATTGGATTTGGGACTGAAAGGACAGATGGGAGTCCAGGATTACACCGAGTACCCCGGCATGAAGGGAGGGACTGATGGTTGTATTATTGATCTTGATGGAGAAGTTGGGGGAGGGGGCACAGGCTGGAGGGAATAGTATGAGCTCAGTTTTGGAAAGATTGAGTTTGAGGAAGTGGAGTGACATCCATGTCGATATGTCGCTTAGTAGGCTAGCGATGCGGGTGGAGACTGAAGGGGTGAGGGGTAGACAGATAGATTTGCGTGTCATCAGCACAGAGATGGTAGTTGAAGCCGTGGGAGTTTATCAAGTGACCAAGGGAGGAGGTGTAGATGGAGAAGAGAAAGGGTCCAAGGACAGAACCTTGAGGGACCCCTATAGAAAGAGGGAGTGAAGAGGAGGAGGCAGTGTTATAGGTAACGCTGAAGAAGCGCTGCGATAGGTAGGAGGAGAACCAGGAGAGAGCAGAGTCTCTAAGGCCAAGTGAGTGGAGTATTTTGAGGAGGAGGGGATGGTCAACCGTATCAAAAGCCGCAGAGAGGTCAAGTAGTAGGAGTACGGAGTAGTGGTCATTGGTTGGGATGAGTATGGAGTAGTGGCCATTGGTTTGGATTAGTATGGAGTAGTTGGCCATTGGTTGGGATGAGTATGGAGTAGTGGCCATTGGTTGGGATTAGTATGGAGTAGTTGGCCATTGGTTAGGAGGAGTATGGAGTAGTGGCCATTGGTTGGGATGAGTACGGAGTAGTTGGCCATTGGTTGGGATGAGTACGGAGTAGTAGCCATTGGTTGGGATTAGTATGGACTAGTGGCCATTGGTTGGGATGAGTATGGAGTAGTGGCCATTGGTTGGGATGAGTATGGAGTAGTGTCCATTGGTTGGGATGAGTATGGAGTAGTGGCCATTGGTTGGGATTAGTATGGAGTAGTGGCCATTGGTTGGGATGAGTATGGAGTAGTGGCCATTGGTTGGGATGAGTACGGAGTAGTGACCATTGGTTGGGATGAGTATGGAGTAGTCACCATTGGTTGGGATGAGTACGGAGTAGTGGCCATTGGTTGGGATGAGTACGGAGCAGTGACCATTGGTTGGGATAAGTACGGAGTAGTGGCCATTGGTTGGGATGAGTATGGAGTAGTGGCCATTGGATTTAGCAGTTAGTAGATCATTAGTGAGTTTTAGTAGGGCAGTTTCAGTGGAGTGGAGTGAGCGAAAGCCAGACTGTAAAGGTTCAAGAAGGTTGTTGTCGGTGAGGTGGGAGCTCAGGCGATTGTAGACTAAGTGTTCAAGGAGTTTAGAGGTGAATGGCAGCAGGGAGATGGGTCTTAAGTTGTTCAGGTTGGTGGGTTCCAGGGAGGGCTTTTTAAGTATGGGAGTGATGTGTGCATGCTTTAGAGGGGAGGGGAAGACACCATTAGAGAGGAGAGATTGAAGATGTGAGTGAGGGAGCATAGGATGGAAGAAGTGGGTGACCGTAGTAGCTGTGAGGGGACAGAATCCAGGGGGCAGTGTCAGGGCAGGGGCCGAGGAACGGACAGGCAGGCCTAACAATGTAACGCACTGGCTGATGACAACCACCACCCACAGACCGAAGTCCCTCAGGGCGCGGAGTCTAAGTCCCAGGCTGCCCTTCACCCAGGGCCCTGATGGTAGGGATGGACTTGACGCAGCCAGGAACCAGGTCGCGGCCCCCGAGACACCTCAGCTGCGGTAATGGCCGCCGCCAATGGCGTGTAGCTGGTGGAAGAGACAAAAGAGTGGTCAGACAAAGCCGGGTCAACAACAACAGGACAAAACAGTACAGGACAGCAGACGAGAATCACAGGTCACGAGCCGGGTTCAGCAACAGAGGGTCAGATCAAAGGAGAATACAAAAGAATAGTCGAGTCACAAGCCGAATCAGATACCAGAGAGAGTCACGAGAGTCAGAACAGAGTAATAGCAACACAAAGACACAAGACACAAGTGCAAAGAGCATGTGCGGGCCACAGGCTTATATGTCATCAGCCACACCCCTCTGGGGGATGGACCACAGAGACCTGAAGGCATAAAAGGATTACCACCATGCACAGCAGAATCCAAGATAGACGCCAGCACATGGAGTAACATAACCTCAGGGAAAAGGTAGGACCTTGACAGTACCTCCTCCTCAAGGGCCCCTCCCCCTCCGCGGCTCAACAAAAGGTTTCTGAGGAAAGCGGGTATGAAAAGGAGGAGGGCAGGAGCATGGACATCCGTGGAAGGAACCCAGGAACGCTCCTCGGGACCATAACCGCGCCAATGAACCAGGAACTGTAATCGACCGCGCACCAATCGAGAGTCCAGAATCCTCTCACCTCATACTCCTCCTGACCGTCAACCCGGACAGGACGGGGCCGAGGCAGAGAGGTAGTGAAGCGATTGCAGATCAGAGGTTTCAACAGGGAAACATGAAAGATATTGGAGATCCGCATCCCAGACGGGAAGGGCAAGGGCATAGGCCACCGGATTCACTTTGCGGAGAATGCGGAAAGGACCGACAAAACGGGGAGCTAGTTTGGGTGTGGGCACCCGAAGATTGAGGTTGCGAGTAGACAACCACACCGATCGCCGACCTGGTATGAAGGAGCGGGCAACCGTCTGCAATCAGCCTGGAACTTCTGGCACTGAGCTGAGTCCCTCAAGGCCCTCTGGATCTGCCCCATGAAGAACGCAGGGCAGCAAGATGGTTCTCCACAGCCGGAATGTCCTGTGGTGTGAGAACCTCTCAGGTAATACCGCGGGTTGGAACCCATAGTTGGCCATGAAGGGAGACATCCCGGAGGAGGAGTTGACCGCCGAGTTCCTGGCAAACTCTGTCAAGGCAGGAGATCGGCCCAATCGTCCTGATGGTCTGAAATATAACACCGAAGGAATTGTTCTAAGGCCTGATTGGAACGCTCCGCAGCCCATTGGACTGCGGGTGGTAGGCTGAAGAAAAGGAGAGACTAATACCCAACTGGGAGCAGAAGGCGCGCCAGAATCTGTACACGAACTGGACTCCCCCGGTCCGAGACAATCACCTTAGGCAACCCATGCAGGCAAAAAATCTCCCTGGAAAAGACCGTGGCCAGTTCTTGCGCTGTGGGTAATTTCTGAGTGGAATGCAATGGCACATCTTGGAAAAACGATTGACGATCATGAGGATGACCGTATGACCCCGAGGACACCCGGAGGTCTACAATAAAGTCCATACTAGATTGTGACCAAGGACGCTCCCCATTGGGAATGGGTTGCAGAAGACCCAAAGGGAGATGCCGTGGAGACTTATTCTGGGCACAGATCGAACATGCCGCTACATAAGAGGCAATGTCGGCACGGAGGGTTGGCCACCAGAATAAGCGAGAGACGACCCAACACAGTGGTTCTTCCCCGGATGCCCGGCAGTTTTGGCGTTCATGGTAGGTACGCAGCAGGCGGGTGCGCAATCCCTCGGGTACAAAACATCTACCCTCCGGCTTCCCGGGAGGAGCATCAGTTTGAGCCGCCAAAATCTGATCCCAAGAGGAGAGGTCAGACTGGTGCGAATGGCAGCCAGGATCCGAATCTGGAGGTATAAGTGAGATTGGCTCAGAGTCTTCCCTGGACAACTCAGAGTATTGCCGTGATAACGCATCAGCCCTGACATTCTTGGAACCAGGCAAATATGAAACCACATAGTTGAAGCGTGACAAAGAACAGAGCCCATCTGGCCTGGCGGGGTGTCAATCTCTTGGCCTCCGAAAGATAAGTCAGGTTCTTGTGATCGGTAAGAATGAGGACCGGAAACCGCGGAACCCTCGAGCAGGTGCCTCCATTCCTTGAGAGCCAGAATGAATGACCAACAACTCCTGATCTCCGATCTGGTAGTTGCACTCTGCAGAGGAAAGCTTCCTGGAGTAGAACCCGCAGGGAAGTAGGGGTCCATCGGGCGACCGACGCTGGGACAGGAGAGCCCCTACTCCCGTCTCGGAAGCATCAACCTCGAGGACGAAGGGGCAACCCAGGATTGGGGCGGGGATGCGAAAAGAATCGGAGCCGAAGCAAAGGCGGCTTTCAGAGCCTCAAAAGCTATGATGGCCTCGGATGGCCACTCGTGAGGGTTACTCCCTTCTTGGTTAGGTCAGGAGAGAGGCTTTGCCATGTGGAGAAGTTCCTGATGAACTTCCGATAGTAGTTGGCAAAACCCAGAAGCGCTGAATGGGCCGAAGACCATTGGGACGAGGCCACTGCAGAACCGCCGCAACCTTCTGAGGGTCCATGGAGAATCCCTCCGCAGAAATGATGTAGCCCAAAAAGGCAACTTGGGATCGATGGAACTCGCACTTCTCGAGTTTACAAAAAGAGTCCGTTCTCACGCAATCGTTGCAGCATCCTTGCTAGACATCTGGACTTGGGACTCTTTCTGGAGGGTAGTGTAAACCAAGATGTCATTCTAGATTAACCACTACGCACTGCTGCAAACAAATCACGTAAGGACATCGTTATGAATTCCTGAAAAACACGGACGCGTTACACAACCCGAAGGGCATCACCAGGTATTCATAGTGCCGGTTCTGGTAATATACGCGGTCTTCCACTCATCCCCCTGTCTGATCCGTACGAGGGTTGTACGCCGCCCTAAGGTCGAGTTTGGTAAAGTCTGTTGCTCTCTTAAGGCGGTTGATACAACTCAGAAATCACGGAATTGTGGATATGCATTTTATATTGGTAATCCTTGATTGAGACCCACGTATAATTTGATGCAGGGCCTCATTCCCCCCCTTTCTTCTTTTCGAAAAAAAAACCTGCTCCTGGCTGGAGAAGTAGACTTACAAAGTGCCCAGGGAACTGCTGCATCCACAACGTACTCCTCCATGTCCATTTTCTCGCACTGAGTGAGTGTTAACCATGCCAGCGGAGGAGAAAAAATAAAAAAACATAAAATGGCCACCGGGTTGCAAGGAACATGGAGCAGTCGTACTAGGACGATGCTGGCGTAAGGTACCAGCTAGCTATACCTTATCAATCACGTCCGGTACTCCCCATCGTCGGTGAGGACAACGCAGGAGTCGAGGAGGCACACAATACCTTAACCGGCCCCCGGATGCACGCCGGCCACACTGTGGAGACCAGGAGAGTATCTCGGCTGTTTTCCAATAGAAGGTTGGATTGTGCCTCTGGGAGCCTGGGATACCCCAAATCCACAGACTAGTGTGGGGAAGAAATCACCTGAACACAGGCCAACTCCCTGTGAAACAGCCCCAATGGCTACCTCAATTCGATGAGAGACGCGTGGGTAACCTGCGGCGGTTGCTGGGGCCTGCCATCTATGGCTTCGAGAACCAATGGTGGTCGCACGTGCCTGCAGGGAATGGAGTGCTGTGCAGCAAAACATAGCTGTCCAAGAACAACCCACCGACCCCAGAGTCTACCAACGCTGGGCCTGTCAACGAGCCCTCCGTCCAAGAAAGGACCATGGTGATCAGTTGGATTATCTTTGCGGAACGCCGGGGTACGAGGAAACCCACCCAAGAGTCTGTCCCCGACATGATCTCAGGTGCGGAAGCGTTTCCCGGTCGGACCGGACAAGACTGCCGAAAGTGCCCACCGAAGGCCATAGTACAGGGCAGGGATCCCTCCCAACGCGAGCGGCTGCTCGTCCCTCGGAAAGGCGAGCAAACCCAGCTGCATTGGTTCCCCACAAGACAAGCTATCCCCAAGGAGGGCAGTGGGAGGATGAGGAGGAACGGGTGGGATAGGAATATACGCAGGTGCCAGTCGATTGGAAGGGCCTCCGCAGGCGTTCATTGAGTGAATGCCTCTCATGAGCCTGGTGTCAATCATGGGATCAGGAAAGAGATTGAGCTCCTCCAAACACACACAGGCAGTGCCTTTAGCTGCATGTCTTCGTCCTTCATGTGTGTCAGAAAGACCAT